AAATCATACATCTCTTGCTCCTTCCATCCATCCATCCAAACATATTTTGTTTTTCCGTTTCTCTCTTCTCTTTCACAAGTACACTACACCTCAACCTCTCTGTTCCCGCATCTGCATCTACCGCCCTTCTCCCATCTCTGCCTATCACTTTTTCCCTCCGATATCAAAATCAATCAATTGTGTTTCACAAACGCATACCATAACATCCCTAGGACGAGGAGATTAATTCTTTTGATTCGAAGGAATAAAAAGTGAAACTCGTATCTTGTACATCCTTTTCTGTACTATTGGTTTACTTTTTGGGAAAATCATCCGATAGCAATGGCATCCCCTCCATCCCCACCATAGTAAGTTCTATCTATTCTATTCATTTCTTGATTCATTCATTCCAAGTTGTATTCATTCATTCATTCAATCAATCATTCATTCATTCAATCTCTCAATTCCCAAATCCCAAATCATACACACACATTCACATTCACATCATATCAAATCACATCAATCCACCGTATGCATTGGCACATATTCAAAATGCCACGCAACAAATACACGCCGAGCAACTCCATCCCTCCTACCCAAACCCAAGCTTCCCCACGCGAACCCATCCTCCCCTCCAAACCACAAACTCTAACACATTCTTCTCCTTCCAGCGATACCACCGAGGATCCTTTGGCCAGTCAGAAAATGATGCATGGCAATTCCATTCCGGAACCGAGCGAATCCCCCAAATCCCAATTGCATGATGCGATTGAGAGGATTCAGTCGTTGCATAAGAGGAGAGCGCAGATTAAGACGATTTATGAAAATGAGAGACAGTATTTGGATCAGAGGAGTCAGAAGACGAAGAGTAGTTTTGAGGGGTTGATTGTTAGTACGGAGGAACAGATTCAGAGTATTAATGAGGTGAGCTTTTTATTTTTCTTGAACTGTGGATGGAATATGAGCGTGGGGATAGCTTGGTGTGGGATAGCTTGATGTGGGATAGCTTGATATGGGATAGCTTGATGTGGGAATAGTTTGGAGTGGGAATAGTTTGGAGTGGAAGTGAAGAGCTTCAGTCCAGATTTACAGCTTCTAACACCTAAAAATAGTTCCCAGCTTTCGACAGTCATCCAGATTACACAGAGGTTAATGGAAAATTACATTCCGTCGCATTAGACACCAAAGCTCTCTTTCAAAATGTTAATGCTTTGAGTGAGTCTATCATCATGGCATTAGACGCTTGGTATCAAAAAGAAGTCGATAAATGCGCATATGAAATCAAGCTGGCAGAAAAAGACTACAAGGTATGTTATATTCACACTCTTCTCAGCACACCTTCTCCTGGCTCCCCAAATCCCAAATTCAATAACTAACCCCCTCTAGCGCTCCTTCGATACCTGGCAAGACCTCATCAAATCGGGCGATCTCTTCGGCGCATCCGAACCCTTCAAATCATCCGCTCCCCCAAACCCCGGTCCTAGCTCCTCTCGTTCCTCGCACCAATTGCAGGATGGTCCCGATCCCCATATGTACGCGTCTGCTCCGGTTTCCAACCCTAATATTCCCATTCCGCATAAATCCGACACAGTCACTTCGCAGCATAACAGTACTAGACCGCAGAGTAGTAGAAATGCGAGTATAGATATGGGTGCGAACATGAGTGGTGCGATGATGGGTGGAAGTATGAATGGAAGAGGAAATGGAAATGGAAATGCGAATGGAAATGCGAATATGAATGGAGATATGAATTATCCGCCGAATTCAAGTGAGAAGCGATCTGGGGGGAAGAAGAAAACTTTTAGTTGGTTGAGTGGGGGAAGTGGGAATGGGAAATATATTGAGTGAGTGAGTAGTGGTGGTGGTGGTGGTGGTGGTAATGAATGAGAAAGGGGATTGAATCATGCGGATGGATGGATGCGGATAAAATGGCTTGGATGGTTGGACGGAGGGGATATCTTTGTAAATGAATGGCGTGGCGTTTGGGAATACCGTTTATGCATGTGATGTTAAGGCATACATGGAATTGCGAGAAGATGGTACATATAGTGAGAGATGAAGGGATGGATGGAGGCTTCATTTATGTTGTGTTTGTGTTTTTTGGTTTTCGGTTTTTGGCAGAAATGGTAATGATGATGAAATGAAATGATTGCATATGATGGATGTAGAGATTATGTATTTAATTAATGAGGTTATGATTTTTATGATGTTTGTGTGTGTGTGTGTTTAAGTGAATGGAAAGGAATTTTTGGAAGGGGTTTATGATGTGTGGAGTGTGGATTGGGTATAGGATGGGGAGGGGAAAGTATAGGAGGGGAGTGGAAGGGAGTAAAGTGAAGTAGAGTGAAGTAGAGTGAAGTTCTGGTTGTATTGCATTTTATTGCATTGTGCTCTTTTGTAGGTAATGGATGAGAGGGGTAAGAAGGATGATGTGAGAGAGAGGTAGGAAGTGAGATTGGGAAGGGGTAGATAGGGAAAGAGAAAGATGGGATATGAAAGAAAGAGGAGAAGAAGGGAGGGGAGGGGTAGAGGGAGGTGTAAAGAGAAGAGGAAAAGAAGAGGGGGGGTGGGAATGGGAATGTGAGGAGGAAAAGGTGGAGATGGGAAAGGAGAAAGAAAGGTAAGAGGGAGAAGGGGAGGAAGAGGGAGAAGGGGAAGGGAGGAAAGAGGAGGAGGGGAGGAAAGAGGAGGAGAAAAGGGATATTATATGATAGAATTTGGGAAATAGATGAAAGGGAAGAGAAAGTTGAAAGTTGAAAGATGGAAGATGGAAGATGGAATGAAATGTATTGGAGGAAGATGTTTTTTAGGAGTAGATGGGGTGGAGAAGGAGTAGATGGGGTGGAGATGAAGGAGGAAGAGGAGGAAGAGGAGGAAGAGGAGGAAGAGGATTTTGATTTTAATGAGTAGATGATATGGAGGTGATATTAGAGTTAGAGCTAGAGATTGTTTTTTGGGGAGGATAAAGAGGGATTGGGTTTGAGATTGGGTTTATAAGGGTTTATAAGGGTGGTTGAGTGTGAGTGAGTGTGTATAGAGGGCTAAAAATAAAGGATTGGAATTTAGAGTAGGAAGAGGGGAGATTGAAGGGGATAGAGGAGAGTGGAGAGGGGATAGAGATGAAGATGGAGATGTCACGAAGTCATATTGATTCTAATCTATTTCTATCCTGTTTTATTACTATGTATAGGTATGAAAGTAAAGTAGAATATAAAGTAAAGTAGAACTTCTAGTTTTATCTCTTAGTCTTTTAGTCTTTTAAGTTTTTAATTTTTAGTTTTTAGTTTTTAGTTTACTGATAGAATTTCTGAATATTTTTAAATAATTTTATGAATGGAGATTTGAAATTTGGAAGTGAAAATGAAAATGAAAATGTGAATGTGAATGTGAATGTGAATGAGAATGAGAATGGAAATGAGAATAAAAGTAGAATTATTTAGTGTAATGATAGGGGATTAGAGTTTGGGAATATGAGAATGAGAAGAGTAGAGTTGAAATGGAATAATATTATTAGAGTTGGATTTATTAGTAGATAGTATTTAGTAGATAGTTGGATTTTAAGGGGGAGGAGGAGGTGGTTTAGGATTAAGATATTTGAGTAGAGAGTGGAGAGTGAGGAGAGAATGAAGAAGGAGCGGATGAAGAGGAGGAGGAAGATCGTAGTTTAGAATAGAGGGAATGGGGTATAGAGATATAAAAATGTAAATTTGGAATTCAGGAATTGGAGAGAGAGCGAGTGAGAAAGATGAGAGATCAGAGATAGAATAATAAGGAATTAGAATTAGGGAAGAAAGAAATAGAAGAAAATCTGAATTCTTGATAACTGAATTTAAAATTTGAAATTCAAGATTTGAGGACTTGGAGTTTGAGATTCTTAGTTATAAATATTTATAAATATTTATAGATGTTAGAGTAGATGATAATATTTAAGGGATTTAACTTATTTATTTGAGATTAAGAGATATAATTGAGTTTACAAATTTATAATTGAGATTGAGATTAGGAATAGATTTGAATTTGTATTTGAGTTTATTATTTTTAATTAAAAAGAGAAGATTGAATTAAGAAAGAGAAATAGAGAGAAAGGAGAAGAGGAGAATGAGAATAGTGGGTTGGGAATAAAGAGAGAAGGGGAGGGAATAGGGAATAGAGAGGAGAGGAGAGGGGGGATAGAGAATAAAAAGAAGAGAATAGATAATAAAGAATATAGAAATGAAATAGAATTATGTATATAGAACAGAAACAAGAATAGAAATAAGAATAATAATAAAAATAGTAATAAGAATAAGAAATAAAAAATCAAAGACAGAGAATAGATAGGAATAGAATTGAGATTGAGATTGAGAATAGAAATAGAAATAGAAATAGAAATAGAAATAGAAATAGAATAGAAATAGAATAGAAATAGAAATAGAAATAGAAAATAGAAATAGAAATAGAAATAGAATAGAAATAGATAGATAGAATAGAGATAGAAATAGAAATAGAATCGAAATAGAGAAATAGACATACAGAAATATACCACATATAGACATAGATTTATCTAATACTAGGTTAGATAATATAGATTTATATACTATATATTTATAATATATCTATATAATATATATTTATATAATATATATTATATAATCTATATTCTATCATATATATCTATATTAAATATATAAATATAGATACCTAATTATTTATTTACTTCATTCATTCATTTCATTAGCCTCTACTCTCTATCCATATCAGCTATGAATATGATATCTAATTCATCTAATTCATACACCCCCCTCCCCTCATCTATCCTCCCTCATCTACCATCTACCCATCTATCCTCCCTCATCTATCTCTCTTCATCTGCCTATCTATCTATCTACCCATCTGCCCATCTATCTATCTATCGATACAATTAGCATCCCATCCCCATCCAATAATAACATATGAATGGATATCCATAACCCTTGAGAAAGAAGCTCTCATTCCATTCCATTCCATTCCATCGGGATTAGGAAAAATTCTTTCCTCTCTTCGCGTAAGAGGGAAAGAGGGAAAGAGGGAAAGAGGGAAAGAGGGAAAGAGGGAAAGAGGGAAAGAGGGAAAGAGGGAAAGAGGGAAAGAGGGAAAGTTGATGAATAACAAAGGAAGATGAAACGAAGATGAAGATGGAAATGAAAATGAGATGGAGATGAAAAAAATTCCTTCCTTAAATTCAACTCTGATTGTTCTATCTTTCTTTTGTGTGAGAGAGAGAGAGAGGAATAGAAAGGAACAGAAAGGAATAGAAAGGAACAGAGAGGAACAGAGAGGAACAAGAACAGAGAGGAACAAGAAAAGAGATGAAGAAGAAGAGGAACACAAGATATACTCAATCAACTTATTAATTGACTAACGAGTCAAAATAGCTTTAATTTTATTTAATCGAATGAATATTACATTTCTCCGAGGTTGGATGAGATGGGTAAAAGGATGATGAGAAGATGAGAAAGAAGAAAGTTTAGAAATGAAGTATGTTTGTCTTTTTGTTTGGCTATCCGTTTGGTTATCCATTTGGCTATCCACCCATCCACCCATCCACCCATCCATCAATTCTCCATTCTCAATCCCTCCTACCCATCCATCTCCATCCACCAGCTGCGCTGCACAAGAACCAGAAATAATCTCCCAAAGCAAAAATCAATGAAAGCCCGCGCGTTGAATTAGTCTCGAAGCGAAAGGTATAAGACGCCACCGAAAAAAAAGAGTCATCTAAACATTATCGGAACGCGAAATGGGTTCATGAGCATTCAATTCATGACCACCACCCAACTTCTCCTCATGACCTTCAGGAACCACATCTGCGAGTGTTTCATCGGTGCCTTGTAAATCTTCTTCAACGGTAACGGTATCCTTGATTCTCAAAAAGATAACAGGAGCAGCGATGACGCAAGACACGGAGAGGATAACCCAATTGCTGATGAACTCATCGTGGTAGGAAAGTTTCTTAGCATCCAATGCCCACATGACGGCACCACCAGCTGATTGAATACCCTTGTAAAAACCGACATAATTGGCAGATTTACGACCAGAGTTAGAGAGGGCACCCATGAACCAGTAAACCGATCCTTGCCATGCGGAGTCGAAGAATCCATAAAAGATGTAGAGGAACATGGGACCAATGTATTTTTTGCCTCCATCAGTCCAGTCGACTGGAATATAGTCTCCGGTAGCCGAGTTGGTGCTCTCACGAGTATAGGTTTTTTCGAAAGCATATCCACCACCCCAAGTAATCATGGTGATGGAGAAGAGAAGAGCGAGAGCGGACTTTGCACGAACCGAACGACGGAAGTTACCAGCATCGAGACCGAAACCGAAGATGATGGCGCCGAAAATTTGTGCAGTCCAGTATAAAACGTTGTTGAGAGCACGAGTACGGGTATTGAAAACTGCGGCGTTGATTCCATTTTGTTGATAAGTGTAAAACCAATTGGAAGCCCAGAACATGGGGAAGAGGAGGATGATGAATGGTTCTTGAACAATGGTGTCATAAAGACCGATGAATTCGGATTTCCAGGATGGATGCTTCATGAGAACAACTTTGGTACCATCAGGTCGAACAATATCATCGGCGTTACATAAAAAGAGGGCAAGAACAGCACCGGCGAACATGAGAATGATGAATGCGATGTAAGTTCCATCGGTGACAGTACTGTTGGTCTTGACATTGATATTTTGACCAAGTGGGATCTAAACGAATGTTAGTGTGTGGTCTTCTGAGGTTTATTAGAAGTGCCTCAAGTGAGGTCTTCTCCCGCCCTGAAACTTCAAATAAGAAGAAACAGAGAAGTCGGGGAAAGCAAATCAAGTTATAGATAAACTCGATTGCATATAAGGTGAACGAAAAGTATATCAAAACTTACCAAAGCACCAAGAACAGCACCAAAGTTAAAAACCGCCCAGAAAACACCAAAGTATTTTCCTTTATCGCCTTCATATGGATAAGAAACCATGATGGTTCCTTGCGCAGTCCACAACAGACCAGCACAAACACCAAGAAGTGCACCGGCGAAGATGTTAAAGCCACCCACGTTTGCGTGAACCGAGGCGAGGAGAGAAATTGCATAAATACAATATCCAATACCACCAAAGGCCAAACAAGTCTTGATACCCAATTTATTGACGAAAGTTCCACCGAAGAAAGCGAAGACTGCAAAGGTGGAGTAGAGAGCGGTGTTCTAGAAAATCTCATGTTAGTAAGAAATTCGTGACTTTGGAACGTCTTGATTTTATATGGGGAAATTCCATCATCATGGCTGTCAAGAGAGACCATCAAATTCGAGGAAGCATCAAAGCAAAAGAATAAATAACTCACCATATGATCTGCAAGAGTAGGATCTGCTTTTCCACCACCACCAAGACCACCGAGCGCATTAAACATACCAGGACAGAGGAAGCAGACGAATGCAACCATGGTAAGTTGAACTCGAGGAGATGCATACCAAAAGGTCATGCCAAGGAATCGACGATGCTTGTACTTCCATCCTTGCTGATCGACGGCGGTAGTAGGAGTATTGGTGCGGAAATCGACATTATCTTGAACTGAGGCAACCTCTGGGGAATGCGCATGCGCAGCTTCTTTCTCCATATTGAATGGACGAATGGAGAATTATTGTTTGGGGATATCAGGTATGATGGATGTTATTGAGAAAGAGTGTAACGTAAGTTGAGGAATCGATGTGGAAGGAAAAGACGGTGGATGGGCGAAGAAGTTGTTTGTTGTGGGAGAGATTTGAAGGGGAGAGATTTGAGAAGTTGTGGGAAGAAACTCTTATGCAAATTACTTGCTGCGGTAGAGATTTTTTTGTCCCAGCCGTCGTGAAGAAAAGATTCACTCTTAGTGCGTCTTCCAATCCTCGATACGTACGATCCAATCACCTTGTTGACCTGTACACAAATAAAAGTGATACAAAAGGTATCAAGCCGTTCCCAAGCGTCAAGCCGTTTTTCCGATGAGATTGGCAACAAATCTACGGTGAATATTAAGATTTGCCTTGTCTCGTCTTTCACAGCCTGGGAAAGTGAATCGGAATGAGAATATCTATCTATTCAGGTCGGCGAATAAAGTGAGGGCTAAATGAAGTGACGTTGAGGCGAAGTGAGGTGAGGTAAGGCGAGGTAAGGCGAGGTAAGGCGAGGTCAAAGTGATATTATACTTCTCAACCTATGAAGCACTAGCAACAACTACATCGTATATCAACCACGATGCAGTTCTTAAACTACTTATATATGCAGCATCTTCATTCGTAACCCCTACCTGTCCCTGCACTGTGCATCCACAATTATATTCCCCCATGTTTTTCGAGATTCGATGTTGGAATCCATCACCCACCAAGCGTGGTTCTGGATTTAGTCATAAGTTTGATGTAGGGTAGGATGGATGTGTGAGGATGTGATGATCACTGATACGTTATCTATCTTTGCCCGCCAATTCTTTTTTTCTTTTTTTCTTTCCTCTCCTCTCTCAAAGGAGTAATCTCATGCACGACTTATCAAAGCCCCGGCGGTTTAATTGGAGCTTGGGCTGGGCTGGTCAGTGAGAAATGATTCAAATTAGTAACTTTCTCCGCACGATAATTGACATGGGGAAGGGAAGGGAAGCGATTTGACTGGTGAGAAATGTAATAATAAGTGTAGGGAAGTGTGTAGGGGAGTGAAGACTGGATGGAGTAAGAGACGTATAAAAGAATCTTGAATCATGGGATTTGTTGAATGGAATGAATGGATTGTATGGATTGATAGGATTAAAATGATTGATTCCTTAGTAATTAAGCTTACAATCTACACCACTTGATCCAAAGCTGGAGAATACTTTCTTCATTTGGGAATCTACAGGAAGTTCCAAGTCCCCAGTCCAAGGTCTACGATCCACAGAGCAATATCCAACCTCCAACATCTAATATCCAATATCCAATATACAACATCCCATATCCAACATCCAAAATTGTGAGAACAACAGTAACAACTCCCATCAACCATACAGACCAAAATGCGGGGCAAGGGTTCCAGTGGATCCATGGGACTTGACCTTTTGAATTGATTCTTGGCTGCATGAAAAAATCTCTGGGTTTAACCCTCAACGGATGGTTGCATGGCATACTACATTGAATGGGGGTTGGAGAGTTCATCTTACCACCCATTTGAAGATGCTGATCATTCTATGTAACGTATGATATTAATATTGAGAGGAAGGAAGGAAGAAGAAGGAGAAGAAGGAGAAGAAGAAGAAGAAGAAGAAGAAGAAGAAGAAGAACCGGTAGTATGCCTTTCCACTCTTTGTAATTAATGGATGGGATGGGATGGGATGGAATGGAATGGAATACTTGGGATGAGTTTCAGATAGGGCCAGATGTTCATTTGATCTTTGGTATCGTATCAGGATTGGTATCAGTCGTGATATCAATATCGATATCGATATCAGTATCTCTCGAGTATCAACACCCACACCGTGAGGAAACAAAATAGTGGAGAACGTAGTAATCCATATCACGATATCAAAACCCAACTGATTGGAAATAAGTCGAGTATGGTATCACCTATCTAGTATCTAGTATCTAGTATCTAGTATCTAGTATCTAGTATCTAGTATCTAGTATCTATAAATTCCAGATAGATCAACTAATAGAAACGTCTCATCGTCGTCCATCTACCAAAAACCCATGAATTGAACTGATGTATGTATGTATGTATGTACAAATCTTAGCAATCTAGAATTCACGAGATAAATATCAATTAAATACACCAACCATGTCTCATCTTTTTATCGGTCTATCAGTCTATCAGTCTATCATCTATCGTCTCATCGTTTATCCTTTCATCACCGCTCCATCCAATCCCATCCCCATATCTCCTACCCATCACACCGTGGATTCTCGCCCGAATGCCTGGTACCACATCACATATCACAATCCATCCGGCCCTATTTGCAACTTTCCCCTGGTGTGCTGGTGAGGTGGTGGTGATGGTTGCAGCCGATGAATTATTTCCCTCCGTCCCTACGATACTCACCTCATGATTGCCATCTGGCAATTCTGTATCTATCCGAAGAATGATCAGAATATTTTTCTTTCTCTGCAGTGTCGGTCCATTTGCTTCGTTCGTATAAGAATGAAGTTTTGTGGACTAGGTATGAATTGAATGGTCTACAAATCTTTGGCGTGTTGGTTGTTGGATATCGATCTAATAGAATAAGAGACACTAGATAGCCAGAACTCAATTTAAGCATTTCATTTGGTCTGCTCGGTATTTCACATTCTCTTTTTCAAGACTTGCCGTACTCCGTCGCATCCTCGGAATTGGCTGGCTGGCTTTCCTTCCATAGGTAATCGAATAGCTAGTACGTACCTAGGTAGGTATAGCTAGATTTATAATTATCCCATGGGTACGAGACCATGCTTCCTTTCTAGGAAATGAACAGAAGGGACTCGTATCTAAAGTTCTGACTGCAGCCCAAAACACGGAAGGTCCACTGGTTCTCACCACTCTCCCGAACTTTTCATCCTTCCTTTCAAGTTCCAAGCACTGGTGAATGCAATCCAATTAACGCAAGAGAAATATTCATACATATACGGAGTATATCCATCCCGAGAAATCATAAGCAGGCATGCGTAACAAACATCGCCATCGGAACGAGCACGAGACAAAAATAAGGATCCCTAATCGCACAGGAAGCGATGACTGGAAATCTGCGATCCATTGGTTCTATGCTCATCATCGTGTCTCACTCCTTCAAGTTTAAGTCAGCCCATGCCAAATATTACATGTCCAAATCATTGCGATTCAACGTCCCACGTACGAGCCACATTCATGATGGATTGATGATCCCGAGCCGGATAGACGTCTATCATTATGTATGTAGGTATGTATGTATATGTATGTAGGTATACTCTCACCATAAATGATAAGGCTCGACGCTTGAGTCATGGGAAATTTCAATTTCATGGTAATATGGTGATAGAATCATTCAAAATTTTATTTACCTACCTACGATACCTAGGGAATTATAATTAATGCGATTTGCTATCCACTCTCTTTGTACATGAATGAATAATCCATTCTATCATTCTATCATTCTATCAATCATTCAATCTATCAATCCTCAATCCATCCCTCCCTCCCTTCCTCCCCATCCTCACCCTCGCCCTCGCCCTCACCTCCCAAGACAAGACCCCCAATGTTACAATCAACAAGTGGATCCCTCTCCATACATAAAACCTCACGTTCCCATCCCAAAAGCGATGTTACACTCACCCACCCCATCCAATCCAACCTCATCCCATCCAATCCAACCTCATCCCATCCCATCCCATCCTCCCAAATTCCAATTCCAATTCTAATTCCAATGAATCATATTTACAATTATCGATAATGGGAATACATACCTACTAGGTAGGTAGTATAATGGTTCGTTTCTATTGTATGTATATATGTATGTATATATGATATATTCTACAAGGTAGCTTGATAGTGATAGTTCACCGCCGTCTCTCCCTTTCATATCATATCATATCATTTCCTATCCTGTCCTTGTACGGAGTACTCGTGAGAGTACTTCGTACTTGCTTTACAACATTTATTTATATACATGTATATGAATGAATGGATACCTAGTAGGTATCCAATACAAATTCCCAATCCCAAATTCACACGCTCAGGACAGGACAGAAAACAAAAGCCCTCGGATACGAATCACATGAGATGAATATGAATATCTAGGTAGGTATGAATGATGGTTGATTGGGAGATGGGAGATATCGTATCGTGTTGTAAGGTTACTAATAACCTTACCCGACACCATTTATTTTCTCGATTCTCCGATTTCTTCATATCTACCGAGTATATTCTATTACATAGGTAGCTTCCTTATTTCAATTCATTTCATTCATTCCATTCATTGCATATCGCATTACTATACTGAGGTACAGTATATATAGTACAAGTACTCACAGTACACACTCACAATACAATACAGTACAATACAGAACAAATACCTATATCCATATCCACAAAATTAACTTAAAGTACCTATCTACCTACCTACCTACCTACCTACCTACCTAATATCATTACTCCATCCATAAACTTCTCCAGAGTGGTGGAGCCTCACAATCCATCTCTCTCGATAACTTGACCACCAATTTTCCACGATATACTACTTACTTACTACAATACCTAATACATACATAGGTACTTGTAGATAGGTAAATGCAACACACGAACCAGAAATTATTTTGCGCACAGAGTCGCGGAGGTCTTTCCTGGTGTTGAGTTTTTGTCGACGGGGTGGATGAGGATGCGGATGAGGTATGAGGATAAGGATGAGGTATGATGTTCATGATGGTTGGTTTGTGTTGTGTTATATTATATTATTATATTATAATACATCATGTATCCTTGTATAGTTACATCGGGTTACTTACTTACTTACTTACTTACCGTATCGTATCGTGTCGTATGGCTTGCTTGGTGGATCGAGAGGTTGCAACTTGCCATGCCATGGATGTGTGATATGGGGTAGCTGATGGGGCTTGTCTGGGAATTGTCTTGGTAAATTGAGGCTTGGCTTGAGACTGGGATTGAGGCTGGGCTTAGATGGTTGTGGATGGTTTCTTGGAGTGCCCAGGTGGAGTGCGTGGGTGTGTGATGTTTGTTGTGTGATGTTTATTGTGTGATGTTTGTTGTGTGATGTTTGTTGTGTGATGTTTGTTGTATAATGTTTGTTGTGTAATGTTTGTTGTGTGATGTTTGTTGTGATATATATGTGTGTAAGTGGATGAGGATGGGATGGGATGGGATGGGATGGGATGGGATGGGATGGGATGGGATGGGTGGTTGAGTTTATGATGATGTTTTCGATTTAGATCTATATTTATATTGAGATTCTAAACTTCTTTTCATACCTGTTTGTCTGTCTGTCTGTCTGTCTGTCCGTCTATCCAGCATTCAGTACCTCATCTAACTGAACATTTCCAAGGTTTCCAAAACGGTAGATATCGATACAGCATCGAGATTCCTTTCATCATACTATCATATCTATATCCTTCTGCATCATTTCATTACAATTTTCATACCATTTCCTCACTCTTCCTCTCTCTTGCGTTTGCATAGATGCTCACATTATTCTCTCTTCTCTTCTCTTATATGTAATATAATATAATATAATACAATACAATACAATTTAGCAATCTTTTCTATTTTTTGTCCGATTCATGGAATGATGGAGATGCAAGTGTGTTTGTTTTTGTATTTATATTTATATCTATATCTACATCATGCGAGAGGATAGCTATAATAGGAAGTTACCAGCTGGTAGGAAGTATAGCTCTTGGTTTCTCAGTGAATTTGATGGAACGCGGAATTTGTGAAGGGGAAAGGAATGAGGTGGGTTTGGTATATGGTATATGGTTGATGGGTGATGGTTGGATTGTAGATTTGGAATCTTGTATCGATTTGAGAAAATGTCTGGATTGTTGGAGGATGAATGGTTGCGGGAGAGGATTGGATGAGTTCTGTAGGATTTCTTAGATGGGGGAAAGGGGGAGGAGAGGAGAGGAGAGGAAGTCTGATTATCTTGTGGTAATGAGGATGGAGTTGAGGTTTTGATTTAGTTTGATTTAATTTGATTTGAGTTGAGTTGAGTTGAGCTAGGCAGACAGCCAGATGAGTAATTTATATTGATTTCTCTTGTCTGAATAGCTGTGCATTGGTTGTGGATGGAGGGGAGGAGAGTTCTGTGACCTCTTTCTGTCTGTGATATTTCTGTTTCTGTTACACATGCAGATATCGGATTTGAGATGGAAAGTTGTTACTATTCGGGAATATTTAATCAGGTGATTTTGTTTTGTTTTTTGGAGTAATGGATTATGGGTCTAATAGGTGGGTGATGAGAATATCGAAGATGGTTGAGATTCAAGGGGTGAGATTGGTATGGTATGATGGAAGACAGGGCTAGCCTTCGCTTTTGTCTGAGTGTGAATATAAAGACTTTGAACTTGAGTCTATGTTCATATAGTAATTCATATGAGCGTCTTGATCCCTTTGTGTTGGCGTTTGGGGGAAGTTGTGAATGAATCTATCTATCTATGTGTGAGGAAGTAATGTTGAAGTTGTGGTTAATTGATATATCTAGCTGCATTGGTATTAAGCAATGCTTCCTCAATTATCGTTCGTGTTTTCTGTAAGTTCATGAGAAAAGAGATTTGAAAGGGATCACGTGATAGTAGAATTGATTTCTTGCGAGTTGTGGTTGTGGAGGGGTTCGAATGTGCTTCGAATTTGCAGTAGCGTGAGATTGGTCAGCACCCCATTTCATGAGTTTTGTTATCGTTCTGGATTACAATAAGCTAGCTTATACGCAGAGTAAGATAATTATGATGATTGATGAACGTCATTGTTCCTATTCCTTCATAGATTTCTCAAGACAGAAATGGAATGAAGGAATTGCGATGCAGGCTTGTGAGAACACATCTACTGATGTCGGTTTGAGGACACATAATACCCAAATCATGGGGCATAGTTGCCTAATAGGATGAGATGATGAGAGAAACGTCTATAAATACAGAAAGTATCAGCGCGATAATGATCAAACTGCTCAGTATCATTAATGTTCATCATGGCGTCTTCGTGTGGTCATACCTTTCCTCGCTCGAGTATGCTACTTCTCGTGGTTTTGTTCTTTTTGATCATACAGACAATGGCTCAAGAGGCTTTTGATGAACAAGACGACCTGACGGCACTTGAAGAAGAATTGACATATTTTGAAAAATCGGATATGGGTCTGTCAGATGAAATCTATATTTCTTCACCAAGAGCATTCAAACCAGAATCGCCAGAGAAATACCAAAACCTTCACATCTATTTCGAGGGCCCAGATGAAGCACCGTATTCCAACGAAGTACTTCAATTCTTCAATCAACCCACATCCACCGAATACAGGAAAGCAGTCCAAACATTCGAAATTACAGGTTACTATGAAAGTCACATCCAACGCGCAAATTGGACCGGCATTACATATCTCCTTACCAATCTTCCCAATCTCTCAATAGTGCACTGGAAAATTTCTAAAGCTATCTGCCCCGAGATACTCTCCAATCTCAGCATAACGAATCCAGATGCCCGCATTTACTTGCACGATCTTCCCCCCACGGGAGATCCCAATGATCATCATTACGAAGCCTCAGGTGATTCTATTGCCACTATAAATCATCTAAATGAAGATGCCCGTTCGATCCTTGGGTCTCCGTTATTATATTCCCTCAATGCCGATATTATAGATTCCTACTGGTCAGATCCAGCGTCGATGCAGATTCTTTTCGAAATCCTGCGCTCCAATCCGCCGAATATGCGAGAATTGCAGTTGAGGTTTTTGCAACAAGGATGTGAGGTTGGTAATCAGGTTGAGGCATTTCCTTTCCTTTCGAGCAAATTCAATACCGATCAGGAAAATATGACATCGATACAATTTCCCCCGCTGGAAAAATTGGTCATCGGCGGATATGATTTTGAGGAATCGCCTGATGGTGGAAGTGGATGGTATGAAACGCCCGAAATCGATTGGCGGACACTTCTCGAGTTTCCTTGGAATATACTCCCAATGTGGTTTATTAATTGGTTGGGAGAGTCTCATTTGAGATCTGTGTGGGACGCTATTCGTTATATACCGCTTGAGCGACTACCTTCTCCTGATGGGGTGTCGAATTTGGCTGTGTGGTTAAAAGTTATGGATTGGTCTAAATTGAAGACTTTGCATATGACACGTCCTGGTCCGGTCGCGATTCAGGAATTGGGGATTATGGGTGCATTAAATGGATTGAAAGAGCTGAAAATCGACGGAATGAAAAGTCTGCGGGAATATGACATAGAATCGGAATGGGAAATAGTAGTGGATTTTCTGGACGATATAGCGAGTAACGGGACAAGTCTTACATCTCTTTGGATCCGTGATATTCCGTTCCCGAAAATGATGAACGGCAACAATGCAGCAACTGAACATAAAGCTACGGAGAAATTGCTGGGTGCCTTATCACAACATACGAATCTCACAAAGCTTCACTTGTACGATGGAATTCAATTTTCCTCTTCGGGATCGTCTTCGCAATTGCCGAAGCAATTTCCCATACTGGTTTCTGCTCTTAATTTGTCGTCGATTGAAGATCTCGCGATTGATATACCGTCACTCCCCGGTTCCAATTCCTCAAACTCCGAGAATGGCAATTTGAAGACTGATGGAATTGATCCGGAAATTTCAGATAAAGAGATGTATAAAGATTTCACTCCCTTGACTCAAAATTCTCGGTTGAAGAGCGTGGAATTCCATGTTCCAGCACCTGAATGCTGGAGGCATCAATTTAAACTTGTTCCAGAATCAGGGATACAGGACAGAAATTATAGTAAGCCGGGGCATAAAGCGGATGTATTGGAAGTGGAGAGATGTGAGAAGGAAGAGGAAGAGTTGGGGAAGAGCACGAGGAGATTGCTTGAGTGGATGAATGAGGAGAGAGAAAGGGTCGGGGAAGATGCGATTAGAAGTTTGAGAGTTGTGGTGGGGGAGGAGGTGGGTGGAGGGAAGGAGGGGGTGGAGTTGGAGATGTTGGGAACATCGGCGGGTTTTGAATTCACGGGGAAGTGTGGGGTTTGGGAATGTTGGATCGAGGAGGGAGCAGCGGTGCCAAAGTGTAAAGGGGGGAGGAGATGGTGGGACTATGGAATCTGGGGGTGGTAGGTATGTGCTAAAACATTTCAATGTGTTGGACGAATAATGAAGGGTAGGAGCCATGAAAGAGGAATCTAAGATTGCATTAACAGACCGAGTAATTTAATTTTGATTGTTATTATAATTCGATTTCGAACACGTACGTAACTCCTCGCCAGTAGACTCGGAGAGTCTTTCGATTCTTTTCGCGGGATATGAATATGAATGAGACCGGTGGGGCTTATGACGCTACATATGTGGTGGCATAATATCAATATAGTCAGTACTTTTCAGAAGAGAGTACTGCAGCTAAACTTTGAATTGAAGCATATTCCAAAGAACCATATGAGAGTTACATGGCCGATATCATAGAACTAAATGAATATATTTGATCATATAGGATCAATACAAGGAAGACATCGGGCAAGCAAATTTGAAACGAAATCCAAAAAAACCCCCCACTTTCCAAATGTACCAGGGAGCAATCATTAATAGACTGTTTTAATCAATTCAGAAATCGATATTATACAGATTGAATACGATATTGTATATTTGAAGTGATCTGTATTCTCTTTGACCCTACAAGTAAATGATACTCGGCGGCAAATTGACTATGAGTACTATCTCATCGAATGATAACGAAGAACAATCGGATTCGCAATCACTTGATTCCGACATAAACAAGAAATCATTCTATATGAAATCAATGATATTTGAAGGATCGACGACGAGATGAAAACCGTTATATGCTCGGACAAAACACAAGAGAAGGCTGAGACAAGTGGATAAGAGGGCTCTCGGTTATCTTAAACGGGCGGGACTGATAGAACCCTTCGAAATCTCCCGGTGAGGCTGTTCTCGACTTTTCTCCAAGGCTGTCGTCTTGCTGTCCTTAGAAATTATTCACTCCACTTTTCTGGCCGCTTTTACATTTCTCCAATTCTGCCACTTTCAAACCTTAATACGAAAGGATACAATTAGATACCGGTCAATCAAGCTCAAGACGACGAAATCGATTTGACAACAAACGATTCATTTCTGCACATATACATACATACATACTTCCTCATTAATTGTACCTTTCTCACACTCATTTTCTGGCTCACATAGTCATGATAACTACAATACTTATAATCTGTTAATGCCGAGATTATTAGAGGCATTGCGCCTCAAATCCCCCTTGATCTTTAAACCCTTTTCTATAAATCAAGAATTAGGCAAACCGAGGAGCTGATCCCGAGTCACCAAATGTCTTGGGATTTGTTAAAGCGGTTTATCGAGTCCGATGTCTTCAATCAGAATCCATTCCTCTCCGTAGCCTACCTTTCGTATGCCAATTACCCCTTTCCATTCAATCGCAGACTCCCTTTACTGATTGCTTGAGTTGGCAGACGGTATGCAGACCATGTCGGGATACATTATGTTCTGTGCTCGAAGTTGCGACAATTTAGTTATGAGGAGATTGAGTTCTTCCTCCCGCAGCTATGCCACCTAATTATTAGTGTCGACAATGAGTCTGTGGCTCTGGAGGAATTCATTCTGGATTTGTGCGAGGAATCGGTCAATGCTGCATTATTGGTGTGTTTGGAGACAGGACATACGAGATTGGACAAATTACTAACTAGGATCGCAGACATTCTGGTTGTTCCAAACGTATCTCCACGATCTTTCTGCGAATCCTCAATCCGAAGCTTTCAAAACATGCAGACGAATATATAATAAGGTCCAGCATATCGTATTTGGGGTATCGGAGACTCCAACGAAGAAGATTAGTGAGAATGTCTTACCTGTTACTGTTCTAGCAAGTTTCGTCCTAGCGAGTATTGCAGTTCCTTTTCTACCAAAATGGGCTGGGCCATTGGCTATTTCACAAGCACGGAAACCTCAAAGTACAGGAAATGTGGTCGCAGATACCAGTCAGATGCAGACACAAAAGATTGTTCGAAGTCATACAACGACACCGGGATCTACACGAACAAAGCAGAGGAGAGAAGCCGCAAGGATTGGCAGCGCTCCAGGCAGTGGTGGTCTGAATAGTGCTGGACCCTCTGAAGCCCCACCAGATCTGGCTCGATCGAACTCCTTAACAAGACCCACCTCATCAAAATCTAGCCGAAAGGTACCCCTAGATCAAATACGGCCTTCGCATTTAGACCTCAAAGCATTAGACCCTCGAAATTCAAGCTCGGCATCTCTTCCAGAATTAAGAAATCCAAATCTACCTAGTAGACCAGCAACACCCGTTACAGCTGGTCTTCCAACAAGACTGACCGAACCTATCAATAAAAGATACTCTCAGCATTCACATGGGGGGAAAATCGTGACTCCAGCATCGTTAACTGACAAGCAGAAGGTCAAATTACTAAGGCAAAACTATTTTCGTTCCGAGACACAATTTTTAACGGCTTTGGAGGATATATCAAATCGTCTAGTTATCGTCCCAAAGCCAGCGCGTCTTAGTGCGTTGCGTGCTGAACTTGCACTTATTGCTCAGGATTTACCAGCTGAAGTTGATATACCAGTTATTTGTCCCGCCACTCTCGTGGATGGAATTCCTAGCAAAAGTAAACATCACCGGATTGTTCGTCTGAACCCAGCGGAAGCGACAGTATTGAATAGCGCCGAAAAAGTACCATATCTTTTGATGGTAGAAGTACTTCGGGATGACTTCTCCTTCAACCCGGAAACTCTAGATAATGAACGTTTGTTGAGCCGATTAGTGTCAGAGGAAGGAACCCACAAGAGACGAAGATTTGACCTCTCGGAATCTGGACGATCGTACGGTAGTCACATCATCAAAAGTACGGATAATACCCCTGATAGTGTTTTTGAGCCAATCAGTGGCGATTTGGGCAGCTCACCATTAATCAAAGAAACAGATCACGACGAGGAGGACATACACACCCCAACCTATAAGGAAAATGCCACGACCTCCCGGCCTACGCGCAAATCAAGCGGTACAACGACTTTATCGAGCTTATCCGGCGTTGCAACACCTAGGACATCCGGAACATCAACGTCTAGATCCATCAGTCCTACGCCGAAAAGGAAGATGACTATTCCTGGAGCAGGTCGATCGGGAGAGAAAGATCAACCAGACTTTTCCACCTTAACAACACATATTAGGACTGCTACACAAATGCTCACCCAACTCAATTCAACGAGTGGGAAAAGACCCAAACATGAGGTTGATGCAATTCGTCATAAAATTATCGCCAGTATACAGAGTCTTGAAGAGCAAAACTACGACTCAGAAGATAACGTTCAATCACAGACTTTTGACATGATTATGGAAAAAGCGAACGCGGCGGCAGCAAATGTTGCACCGGAAGATATCGAAGAAGAATCACCAACCGATCCAGATGCTGTTATTAATGTTGGAGCTGGTGCAGCTCGAATGGAGAACGATCAAAAGACTGGTGGTGTTCAAAGAAAGGGAGATAGAGACGATCCAAGCGCTGCAACATTTGGAGAAGCGTGGAATGTCAAGAAGGAACGTATCAGAAAATCCTCGCCATATGGGTGGATGAAGAATTGGGATGTTTTGAGTGTCATCGTAAAAACAGGTGCTGATTTACGACAAGAAGCATTTGCATGTCAGCTCATTCAATGCTGTGATAAAATCTGGCAGGATGCAGGAACTCCAGTTTGGGTCAAACGAATGAGGATTTTGGTCACTGGGGAGTCATCTGGTCTGATAGAGACAATTACGAACGGTGTATCCTTACACTCGTTAAAGCGTAGTCTCACACTTGCGACGATTGAATCAGGACAAAATCCTCGCAGGAGAATTGCCACGTTGAAAGATCATTTCGTGAAGACCTTTGGACCACCCGACAGTGATGCATACAAAGCTGCGGAAGACGCATTCAAAAGATCACTCGCGGCGTACAGCATTATCTCTTACATTTTACAGTTGAAAGATCGACACAATGGTAATGTTCTCATTGATAACGAAGGGCATATCATTCACATCGACTTCGGATTTATGCTTTCCAACTCTCCTGGGTCAGTTGGGTTTGAAGCTGCTCCTTTCAAATTAACACAGGATTACGTTGATGTCCTAGGAGGTGTTGGATCACCTGCATTTGACGATTACAAAAAGTTATGCAAACAAGCTTTCCAAGGTATGTTTTTCAGGATGTTCATAGGCGACTCATGTCTAACAAAGTGTAGCATTACGTAGATCAGCGGATCATCTTATTGATCTTGTTAGTATGATGGGACGAGAATCAAAGATGCCTTGTTATTCGTATGGAGTTGCTCAAGCAACAAATAGTCTGAGGCAGAGGTTCCAGCTGCAGATGAGTGCCGATGAGGCAGAGACGTTTGTCGAGACAGACTTAATTGGAAAGTCTCTGGGGAGTTATTATACCCGATTGTATGATTTTCCGTCCCTTTACTGATCGTGGATGAACGCTAATTGAAAATGGGTAGATACGATACTTTCCAATATCGTACACAGGGTATTTATTAGTAGGTGGAGTGGGTATGCATGCTTAACAGTTTCTTGGAGAAACTGGTAGCGCTTGTAATTGAATGCATTGTGACTGGCATGGCGTTGGATAATATCATTGAGCTGATTGATTTATGTGTGGCATTTACGGGAAGCGAATCTCAAGGGGAGCGAAAGTGTCTTGCTGAACGGAGACATTACGAAGGGGGAGAGAGCAGAAATGACCCGATCTTTAGCATTAGAAGTGATTTGACTTGATCGTTTGAATGGAATGATAATTTCAGTTCAATGAAATCGAATGAGGATTTATTGTACTCGCAATATTAGTCTAGGTCATAAGGACATACGTTGTTTTGCCTGACTGATTGAGATGGGGAGAAACATTAATCAACTTTTCTCTCCTCTTGTCATCCTATTGCGGCACCAATATTAAGAGACTGTTCGAATTGAGAATTCTGGTTACTGAGACGAAGCTCAGAGAGGATCAGAGTTTCGTCCATTTGTTAAAGTTTTCCGCATGCATATTTGTATATGCAATGTTTAGGAGGTCTCGAACGTGTATTCGCGAATCACCGACGTATCAAACCACCTACAAACACCCAAAGTGTTCGACTGCATACCTAATCAGCCTACCGGTTCTGGAGAGTCGATTTGATTGGTCTATTGTAAAATCTGTAGAAGTAATGGTTGATCTTTTAGATTTTGCCTCATCAGTGTTGTGGTTCTGTGATCGTTTATTCGATGGACGGAAAAAGTCATAACCTCAGTATTGATACAACAATACAACGAAAATGCGACATGATGGTGTTTTGCCCCCAGGACACAGCAGTTCTCGACTCGTCTGTCCCAGGGATTGAAAAGTCCTTGACTCATAAGATCGGTGAACAGATAACATTCTTGGTCTCGTGCGTACCTCGCGTTAATAAGTACCTAGTAGTGGCAACACGATACATGTGAGAAATGGTTCGAGACCGGGTAAATGTAAACGTACTCATGTACTCGCGATGCATTAAGCTCTTTGCATCCATGGAAGAAGATGATCCGATGTTTTCTGAGCTAAGATGGAGCGGAGCCAATTGGCCAAGCGGTTGGTAAATCTTACCTTGGGAAAACCCCGCATTGAGGCTTACTCCATGGGGTTGAGTAGATTAGCAGGCGTCTATGGTTCGGAAGGGTAAGTGAAGATTACCCCCTGTCCTGCGAAAATGTGGAGAGGATGTTTAGGCTAAATACAAATATCACCAGCCTTTTCGCTTCGTGATGAATAGCACAGAACTTCCACCAATAGAGTAGCGTCAGCATACGGACTGGATTATATCCTCGGATGTGCAGATGCGGATTCGACGTGGTTTTTCTTCCTCTGGTTGGGGATTCGGGGTGATGGATGGGGATAGATACTCGTTGTATGGTGAGGACATAGGCGTGGATGGGAAACAGACGAGTAGCTCCAATTATCCATGTTCCAACACAGAGGTTCGTTTTATCCGTTGCAGTGCACATGCTACCTAGACGTACCAATTGAGTGAATGGCATGACAGGGTCGTCTTGTACTCTTCATATATAGATATAGTACCATGCCACTCCACGTTGTACTTGCCAAGAATTTTATTCTTGAAACTTTTTTTCTCGTTGTTGTCTCTAAGCTTTACGATTGAGTAGTTTCAAGGGAACAAGGACGACAAGATGGGAAAGCTTTTCAATCTCTCGTTGGCGGTGTTTGCATCGACCGGGTATGTTTGAGCATTTTGTTGACATGCTGTCTCAAGCGATGTGCAGGTTTCTAACCACTTCTCAATAATAGATCGTTTCTTTTTGGTTACGATGCAGGTGTTATGACAGATGTGATTGCCTCTAAGAACTTCCTCAACTTCTTCAACACTACACAGGATTCTTCTATTATCGGTGCCATCAACTCAACCTTCAATGGTGGTGCAGTGTTTGGTGCCCTTCAGGGCGGTCTTACTATGGATCGATATGGACGAAAGATTACTATCTTCATGGGCGCATTGATCTGTCTCGTTGGAGCAATATTACAGACTGCTGCACAGAATCTGGCCATGATTCTCGTGGGTCGTATCTTTACAGGCTGGGCAGTCGGCTTGCTTAGTATGGCTGTACCGGTTTACAATGCTGAGTGTGCGGATCCGAAAATTAGAGGGTTGATTGTGGGATTGAGTCAACAGATGATTGGAGTGGGTTTTATTGTGTATGTTGCTTCTTTCTCTAGAACTTTGAGAGACGTTACTGACGTGATACAAGATCAACTTGGGTAGGATATGGCTGTGGTGTTACAAAGGACAGTCCGGTTCAATGGAGAGTACCACTCGCTGTACAAATGATTCCTTGCCTCATCCTCGCTTCTGGCATTCTCTTCTTCCCTGAATCGCCTCGCCATCTTATGGAAACCGATCGTGAAGACCAGGCATTGGCTATTCTCAGAAAGTTGCATTTCAACGGTTCGAATGATGAATTCATCGTCAAAGAATTCAACGAGATCAAGGAAACAATTGCAGCAGAGAAAGCAATTACGGTACCAGGATGGAGAGTCATGTTTACAGTACCACAATGGAGAACAAGGTTGGGTCATGGAGTTGCTGTTCAAGCATTTACCCAGTTCACTGGAATTAGTAAGTTGAAGAGAATACAGGAAGGACTTGGTTGCTAACATGAGATAGACGTTATTGGTTACTACCAAAATACTATGTACAAGGCGTTGGGAATTACTGGAAACAAAGCTTTACTCGTCTCTGGAATTTACAACTGCATGGGACCTTTAGGCAGTAAGTCCAATTTACTACCGCCCAAGATAAAATGCTACAGCAACTAAATAACAAACTCCAGATCTCATCTTCATCACCTTCATGATCGACCGAGTCGGACGTCGCAAGCCACTCCTCTGGGGAACCGTCGGTATCACTATCGCCCTTGTCTGCCAGTCCATAATCAACAGCCGAATTGATCCCGAAAACGCACAGCGCGGCCTCTCCATCGGAGGAGTCTTCTTTATTTTCTGCGTCACAGTTATCTTCTCATTTTCATGGGGACCCATCTCTTGGGTCTACATGTCCGAAGTCATGCCTATGCAAATTCGTGCTCGTGGAAATGCGTTCGCAACTGGTATTGGTAATTGGCTTGTCGCTACATTCTGGGCACAAGTTTCGCCTACAGCTTTGAAGGCGCTGACGTGGAAATTTTATTTCTTGTTTGCGGGTGAGTTTTTTGTTTCCCTTCGTCGCTGACCTGGAATATGTACTAATCAGACCTATTACAGCATGGAACGTAGTAGTTACCATCCCCATTGTGTTTTTCTTCTTCAAAGAAACTAAACAGCTCTCCCTCGAAGAAATTGATCTTCTCTTCGGCGAACGTGCACTCGGTACTCTTCCCGATGATATCTCAAAGGGAATTGAACATAATGGGGCTGTGGAGACGGAACATCATGAAATGCACGACAAAGGTGCAGATCGGGTCTAGAGATTGAAGTGGAGTGGGATGTTAATATACCTTGGGGAAATAAGCAGCAGATGAGATAGGCAGCGGACACTATCGTTCTTGGATTTCAGGTATCGGGATTTGGCGCCTGGGATAGTTTTGGTTGAAAGCAAATACCTTGATTATATTCACATCGTAAGAATTAAAATGATATATATATATATACATATATATGGACTTGATTGTTTTTAAAAGAGAACCGTTTCCGACTTGTAGTGAAGTGCATCATAAGCCCCTGAGATCTAGATCTCAAGTTAATTGCATAGGTAGCAATCGACCATTGAAACTTTTAGAGGCCTATATTCCAACTAGTAAATAACATGTCAAAAGAAACTAGGATATTGCCTCGGTATGGATAATCAGATCGATTTACGTAGACTTGAGAACCATAGCGACCGAACTAACGAATAAATTCAGGAGAGAAGAACGTAGCTTTTTCGTCCCTCCCAGCTTTCAGCGTAATTTTTGCTGCAAAGATTTCCATGTACTCTTGTGAAAATATTTCTTTCATCCGACTTTTATATCACCAAGAAGTCCTTGTGAGACTTACTTGATACACACCAAAGAATAAATTATACAAAGAAGCATTATTTGTTATCCAAGAACAGCCACCATGTATAGAAGACAAAGGAGATATCTTCCACAAAGCAACATTCATTGGTTATCTCCAGTATCACGAAAAACATATCGATATATTATCAAATATTTCGTGTTCAAAAGCTAGTGTATTTGTTACGTATAGCTAGTTGTAACCCGATAGCTTAGTCAATCCTCGTGGACGTAACATAAATCCAAAGTCAGGAATCTCACACAGCTTGACATCAAGATGGCTTTACTACTACCCGGCGAAACGTGGGACGAGGCAGAGCTGCGCCTTGGGTTCCGAGTAGAGCGGCCGCCTCCAAAAATGTTCGTCGGTACTCCACTAGAAATGGGTGCTCGTGGGAGGGCATGGTTAGCATCAGAACCACTCTGGTCCGCGGAAAGTCGGATGGGTCCTGAGCCCTCATGGACCGGGGTGAAAATCATGGGCGAAGGCGGGAATGGAACAGCGGGAAAATGGAGATTGACATATCGCCAACCTCCGGAGGGTACGCCGGGGAGATTGCCCTTCGAAAGTATAGTTGTGAAACAGCAAGCTGGGGGCTGGGGAGACTTGAGAGATGAATCGGAAATATACGAGCTGCTGCGTCATACGAACTCTCAGCATCTGGTGAAGATGTTTCGGAGAATGTATGAGGATCGAGGTCTTAACACGGTATACGCGGATAGAGATGGTCCTGTACGCAGGATATATTTGGAAGATTGTGAGAAGGGTGACCTCTCAAGTAGGATATCTGAGCGCTTCAGCGAAAGGTAGGTTTGTTATATCGAACGATACGATATCAACTGACTTGATAGATCCATATTTGAGGAATATGAGATATGGGATACCTTCCATTGCATAGCCCGCGGTCTATACGCTATGCATTCTGGACACGAAGATCTTAACGAGGACAGATGGGATCGGGATGAGATAGTTCACTTTGATTTCAAATCTGAAAATGGTAAGTTAAAGCTTGGAACACACATTCAGGCTCACAACTGCTTACCATTCCTGAGTTTTCATGAGCGCTGGTCCCAGAGATGATGAACATAGAGGAGCACTCGTAATGAAGGTACGATTGTCCATTTACAGTTATAAGACGACTCTAGCATTTATCATATCCCTAACACCCTAAATAAATAGGTTGGTGATTATGGGCATGCCGGAGAGGTGCCCCTTGAGCAAGACCTATTCTACAATTTCAAACATAGACGCCTTGGGACAGAAAGATATAAATTACCTGTAAGTCAACGCTTGGATTCCTGAACATACAGCGACTAATTTTTCCTGCAAGGAACAACTTAGAACTCGAGAACGTCCGTTGGAAAGACCGTGGATGGATCCGATGGTATGTGCAAAACCAATCCTGCTTCCTCACTCCCAACTCCACCTTTTCTGTGTACTAATCCTCAAATATAGCCTAAATCCATGCGCGAAGCAGGCGATGGAAATGTGCTCAATAATCTTCGCTATGGAACTCACTCGAACATATGGCAACTCGGACTGATAATATGGCAAATGATACATACAACTGAATGGTGCCAGGATGGAAATCCATCGCTTGCATATAATCATGAGCCCGATGTGATATGGGAAGGCGAGAGAAGGCGCCGACAGCCTGGCCCCCCGGGAAGATTTGAACTTAAGCTTTATAAAGTAGCAAATACCTGGCTAGGATTGAATGAAGAAGTAGGTGGAGTGCATACACTTGCTACACAAGACGATATAGATTTCTACAGTGGATTGTACGACGCACTGCCATTTGAGCCCGAGGCCGACATAGATCCAGACCAGACTGAAGAGCAAAAAGCTATGGCTAAGAAAAAGAGAAGAATTGAAAATCAAGCTAGAGAAAAAGTTCGCCAGGATCGGTTATACAGTGACACCCTACACAAATTGGTAATGGATTGTCTGATCGTGCAAGGCGAAGCTCGAATTCATATCGAAGATCTATACCGAAAGACGCAACAACTTAAGAAGGTATATCAAGACTTAGTACCTCCCTTGCTCCCAGCTCCCTATTCCCCTGAACCCGCCCTCGGAGACCTTCCACCCCCATGGAACGACATCACAACTCAACCAGGAGGAGGTCTCGGCAAGCCCGTGGTTGAAGAAGAAGAAACCTACCCACTCGATCTTTTTGAACTATTTTATGCGACCGTGGAGCATGAAAAGGTAGAAGATGTCATGAAATGGGCACGAGAGAATCCTATTGAGACCATTTCCGATTATGAGGCTGTTCATGCACGCGAGCTCATTACGAGAAACAGACAATCTTTTGCTAACTACATGGCGGAATCAAGGAGAGCACGGGGCCAAAGAATAAAACCACAATACAAAGTGCCCGCTCCATTCCCAGAAAATTGGAGACATGGAGTACTCCAGGACAACTCAAGAAGACGTGTTCTTCAGGCCGGTGTTTCTCCGTCTGGTCCTTCTCAGCAACAACGCGGTGCGCTGAGAGTCATGAATCCTGGCGGAAGGCCCCCACTTCCTGTGATTACTGAAGGTGATGAACGGCCAACTCACATTCAAGGCAGCCCAAAGGGACCCAGAAATTTCTCATATGAAACTGACGCCACGCCAAGTCATTTAAGACACTTTGAGTCTACGCCTGAACACATGAAACCGGTGGACCTTAGGGAAACTCCTGACTATATGAGAGGGGTAACAAGACCAGTCGGGTATGCGGGAGGAGATTTTGGAGGTGTTGGAGATGCTGGAGATTTCGGAAGCATAAGGATAACAAGCGCATCAGGTGAAGGACAAGAAAGGCGCCCTTTTGGAGAGCAGTCTTCTATGGAGTCTATAGATCTCGGAGGAGGAATCAAAATAGGTGGAGCAGGAAGAAGAAGGGCGTCCCGGAAAAAATCTTCCGCGAAAGTCGATTGGCCCGAGTTCCCCCTTGGCTTACAAAAAGACGTCGACAAACCCTTTCTACTCCGTGCCCTTGCAATACCTGAACTCGCGGGTTCGATTTTATTTTGCACCGTTATTGAGGTCAAGGGCACAGAGGAATTTCTAAAAGGCATCGTATATTTGACCGGATTACTGAACGGGACCACGATATATGACATGAAAGAAATGCTGGACGAGAGAGAGACGGGAATTCCGTTAAAACAGATGAAGTTGATGGGACATGATCAATTATCGGTTTTTAGGGAATTCGAGGATGAGGAGAAGAGAACAGCGATTGGTGGGATTGAAATTTTTCTTTACGATGTTGGACAGGGCTGACGAGAAGGAGGAGAATGTTTAAGATTGGGTAGGACGTGAGAGCACAGAATTGTGCTGCCTCTCAAAATTATGCTTCGATTGGAGAAAGGGAAAATTGACAAAACGCTGTCAAGATCATGACATCAAATAGTTGTAAATGGCCAACATGATCCATCTCAATTGGACATCTCTGATTAAGATAACTTATGAAGATCTTTCCTCTTTGGCGCCTCGATGTTCCCACGTATGAGATGAATGCCTGCTCCCAATCAAACCTGTGAAAGAATCCACATTTTCCTCAGAATTAGTAAGCTTGAGATACTCAGACACTTATCTGCGGACAACTCCTTTGGATCGAACTGTGCGTATCACTTTACAGTCAGCGAGATGGAGTGAGAAATGGTATGTCATTTAGATGTCTCATTTATCCAGTATAATTACAGCCATGATAACGCCATGAAATGTATCCGCCATTTCGAGTATTTTTCTATAAAATAGCCAAACATAAGGGCACATTATGATTCTTCCATCCAGCCAAACCCAATGCAAAAGTCCCTTCCGTCCCAGTTTCCTTAGATCGTAACACCATTGATTCCATTTGACAAATCCCCATTGACGCTGTTATCCAACTCAGCTTTCAAACAGTCCTCCGTGATCTTTTCCAAACATCCCGCTGCTGCTGCTACAAATCCCAAGTATGATTTACTTGGAGCCAAGACTCGGGAGAGGTATTCCGGATGGAATTGTACACCTACGTACCAAGGATGATCCTTGATTTCAACGATTTCCATTCTCTCACCCTTGTCATCCTTGCCGACGAATTCAAGACCACCATCGTGTAATCGGTCAACATACTCTGGGTTGACTTCATATCGATGACGGTGACGTTCGTGGACTTCGGTTTTATCGCCATAAAGCTTACGGAGACGAGACCATTCAGATCCCGGCTGGAATTCAGTAGGACGTAATCCGAGACGCATAGTTCCACCAAGATTTACCTTGTCAATCTCTGGCATGTAGATAATAACTTTATCGGTTGCGTTTGCGTTAAGCTCCACTGAATTAGCAGAAGTGATGCCACAGACATTACGAGCAAATTCGATAACGGCAATTTGCATACCCAAGCAGATTCCCAAATAAGGCGTCTTGTTGGTACGTGCCCACTTTGCAGCTGCAATCATGCCCTCCGTTCCACGATCACCGAATCCTCCAGGAACGAGAATACCATCTGCAGTGCAGACCTCATGCCACGCCTTGTGAAACTCGGTTGGCTTGGCATCATCCTCGAGGTGCTCGGCTTCAACCCAGATCAATTTGAGCTTCTTTCCACATCGCATTGCTGAGTGTTCGAGTGATTTGATAACACTGAGGTATGAGTCGTGAAGTTTGGTATATTTACCAACAAGAACAATGGAAACATCATCAAATGAACGTTCTTGTTGGCTTGTGAGGGACTTCCACTCGGCCCATGTTCGCTGTCCCTTTTCAACAGCAGCTTTCGCCATGGAGATTTCGTTGAGATTGAGAATTTTGTTCAATGTCGAGATAAGGCCTTGCTGTTCGAGAAGTAAAGGAACGTGGTAAGTAGATTTCACGTTGTGTACACCAACGACTTGTTCGCCTTCAACTTGACAGAACATCGCGATCTTTTCGATGGTACTTTTCTCGAGCGGAACATCGCATCGGCAAGCAATCTAGAATAATTAGCCCCCAAAACTTCAGAAATTTCAGTTCAAAGATTTACCAAATCTGGGACCAATCCAGCTCTACCAACATCTCTGATGGCTTGTTGAGTTGGCTTTGTCTTCTGCTCGCCTTGAATGACAGGCACCAAAGAGACATGAATTTGCAAGAAATTGCCTTTTCCAGCTCTTCTCTTCAATTGTCTCATAGCCTCAATGAATGGAGCACTCTCAATATCTCCAACGGTACCACCCAACTCGATGATGCAAACATCCGGAGTCTCCTTTGTGTCATCAACAGGAATTCGCGCGACTCTCTCGATCCAGTCTTGAATTGCATCGGTCAAATGCGGCACAACTTGGACAGTCTTTCCGAGGTAATCGCCTCTACGCTCACGCTCAATGACATGCTGATAGACTTTGCCCGTGGTGATGTTGTTTTCGCGAGTAAGGGTGATGTTGAGATAGCGCTCGTAGTTTCCAAGATCGAGATCGACTTCTCCTCCGTCATCGAGAACAAAGACCTCTCCATGCCTACACACTCGCCCATTAGCTCAATCCCAGATTTCGTAAATAGACATATTAGACGCACTCGAGAGGGTTCATGGTTCCGGCATCGACATTCATGTAAGGATCGATTTTGATGGATGTGACGTTCTTTCGAAGTTAGCCTAAAGATTCTGCCTGATTTTGTGGTTTATCGGGAACATATCTTCAATCCAATCGTCTTAAGTAACAAGCCGGTGGAAGAGGCTGTTGCGCAACCACTTCATCAGTATACTACTCATCTTGTATCTTTCACATCTCTTTGTCGTCATTCCCCAAAATTTGGTTACATACCGATAACGCCCTTTCCAATGCCGGAAATGACACCTAAAACTCATGTTAACCCTCATTTTTTCTCGATTCAAAAGCAAAAATTATGAATCAATCAAATACACACCTCCAGATACAAGAACGTACTTCATCTTGACAAACTTGATGAAATTTATGGTACCCTTCCTGGCTTATGCCAGAGGGAAGGAGGAAAGGAAAAGGAAAATCTCAATCGAAAGTTTAAAGTTTTTGGTGGTGGGGTCCCAGAGCCTATCGCGTGCTAAGCCTATCTTGGATTAGATCAGCCTGTCGGACTCGAAATTTATTGGCGGGGTCAATGTTTGTGGCTGATCAATCTCAGCCTTTTCAGCCTTGTGTGGCACACACTGCTTGGGTTTCCAGGTTGACATTGTTGTCGTATTTTCTTCCATTGGCCAGTCAAAGAATTAGAAATTATCTGCACTCATTCACATTTCAGAATACTGGGTGGTCAAATAGCAAATCAGGTAAAAGGATAGCTTGAAGCAGGGTTGGAGGTTCCAGGAATAATCAATATAATATTGTGGATCATGCGTTCAGAATCGTCTAGATCAACGTACTCTCGAGGTACTCAAACATCGAAATGGTTTGATATACAGATAATTAGAATTCTATTTCTAAAATCCCATTTTCAAGATTGTTGTTGATGTGAAGAGTAACATGAAATATATAGGCCCATTTCTAGAGAAATCAATCTTTTATTATTATTACTATAGTAGGAGAAGAAGGATTCAAAGTTGCCTAGATCCATTTAGATATATAGGCAGGTACCTAGCAAGACGAATAGCCAGAGCTAATTGAAGAATAGGAGAAAAAAAGTAAAGAATAGAAACTAATCTTGATATACCATATTCAATTGATATCTGATATTCGATGTTTAACATTTGTTTATATTCATTGATATATCTTCCACTGCCACATAACAATTTGTAGAATGCAAAACTTGGGGTGAAGTTTGATCATAATACCAGACTTTTCACCAAACAGCCAGTACAATTACCAGTACAGCCCAATACTAACGTTGTTGACCTTGCTCTTGCTCTTGCTCCTCATAAATTCATAAATTCATACTGTTGTCCAAATCGCTTCACCAAAAGAGCAACCATTTTGAGACGCTAACTCCCGCTTTCAAAGGATCAACAATGAATCCTATGCAAAAATCAAAGCTCGTAAATCTTCGCCCTCACTATCAAAGCAGCCATTCACTAGACTTTGGCTGAGTCCCGAGGTCCTTATCATTATGCTCAGCTAGAACTGGCTTCACGTGGGTTCCTCACTTATATTCCTCCCATCTCATCATCATCATCTTCGTCGTCCCCTTGGCCAGCCATTGCAATTGTTTTCGCATTCCCTTTCTTGATCTTGAGGATATTAGGATAGCCTTGGCTGACAAGAGATTTTGCTAGATCAGAGCTCGGTCTCATACCCTCAAAGTCTTTGGCATTGTGTACCTTAAAGATATTACTTAACAAGGGACTCATGATCCCGTTTCGTTGACCTTTTCCCATTGCAGCTGGGTCGATCAACGTTAATCTGAACTTCAGTTGGTAGTCACCCGGGAATCGAACAGACAAATCGGCAAAAGTGAAGAAGAATCGTTCATCGCCATGAGGATCGAGTGCTTTAAACCCATTACACACCATCGTTCCTACCATCCTCCTCTGGTTTCTACGGTCACTGCTTCCCTCGATCTTGTCATCTTCGCAATTCGTGTAGGGATTCCATAGTGTGCAATGCACTATCGGCATGAATCTATTCAAGGCTCTCTTTCTCTCTTTCGGATCAACGGCCTGACCTGTATCCTTATCGAATACTTCGAGTGTCAGGATTGGCGGCGGATCTATCATTCGACGGTCCTTGTCTCCATATCCACAAGCTCGTGCTGATATCGGCTGTTGCATGACGACCAGTCTAAATTCTGGCTGAGGTAGGAGTGGTGGAGGAGCCCTTGGAGTACAATGAGCCTTCATCCATTGACAATGGATACCAAAATAACATACCTAGGAGGGGCAAACGGACCGTGGTGATGAGCTGCAACAGATCCTTCCCTAGTCGCGAATGCATCTGACATGGGTGTCGGTGGACATGTCGAGTATGGAGATAGCGGGCTTTGGGAATGCTTGAAAGTACGTTCAAGCTCCCGAGGACTACGTTGTTGCTGATGTAGGTACATTGGCCTGTTCAATGCCACTGGAGACCGTGGTCCTTGTGATGGCGGGCGATATGAGCCCTCGAATGCCTGACCCTCCTCAACTTGTTCCGGTGGTAAAGAGGATAGCAATGAAGATATGGGAGGAAGCCTGAGAGGATTGAAATTTGGCATTTGCGCCCTGTCGTCGCCATTGTCGTGGTAGGGTAGCGGCTCTCGTCCATAGCTGATACTCCTACCATCAGATGGCTGGTGAATTGGTAGCGCATCATGATTTGAATGGTACATATTGTGGGAGATTGTCAAATATATCGTGATATTATAGACGTTCGATT